AGCACGAGATTGTCAAGGAACGAAATAAAGTAAGCTTTCTCGTTTGAGTCCACATCCATCTTACTTCATTATAACAGAGCATTGCTCGCTACCTCAAGTACCACGCCCGAAACATTCGCGGCAAATATTTACGGGCAAGGACTCATAGCCCCTACAACATTTTATTCCACCGCATGAAAGCCGTTCCTCGCCCCAAACGAAAGCTCCAACCTCAACAGCAGTACCAGCACGAGCATGCTGAGGAACTTCGCCCCATCTACCTTCAAGAGGCCAGCCGCATCAACGACAGTAACCCGGGGCGAAGCCTGTGGTTATAAACGCTCCCTTTCGCCAGAGCGTCGTCAAGAAGATTTTCGAGAACCTCCCAGTGGAAGTCCAGAACGAGTATGAGCAAAGGGCGCAGGACGAAGCTACAACCAACAAAGAAAAACTTGCCATTTTCGATAAGGAGGGCCGCCGGTGACCCCAGAATTCCGTTCGAGTAAGTTGTTTCTTGGGGGGTTGTTCTTCTTGCGCTAAGCTGGCTTCAGATGTATTGCAGACTTTAAAGACTTCATTTGGCCCATTGCTACACACTTTACGGAACTGACAGGTCTCCACTTCTTCTGCATGGTTGGCGGTCTCAAACCCACTGAGCAAGGTGGCGAGATTTGGACCTCATCGTAACCGAAGCCTTCCCTATTTTCTCACTCCAACTTACTATACTTCAGGGTCTATCATGGCGTAAATCGAGCCACTGTCGGAGTTGCATGGCCCTCCTCCAACAAGCCACGGTTCCAGACGGACGTTGTGGGTTTTTTCAGGGAATATCTGGAAGGTTGTTTTAGTGAGTGAATCTCTGTGTGCCATAATGATGCTAACCTTTGTTATTGTAGCGGAATCCGATAAAGCAGATGCGACCTTGGGTCGCCCCTCAGGCCAGAACGCGGACAACGTCCACTTGCCTGCGAAAGACAACGCCCAATCCACGTCCAATCCAGCTCCTGCAAATCCTTCCCAACTCGATGGTCTACTCCGCTTCCCAGACGACCATGAAGAATTTGATTTTCAAGTCACACAGTCGGACTTGGAAGAGTCTGACTCTTCGGACTCTGATGATTCCGAGTCAGACTCTGATACCGACTCAGGTGCGGCGCGCGGCAAACGCAAGGCGACGGTCACCGCGAAAAAAAGGAAGGAACCAGCAAAGTCGACTCAGAAGGGCAAGCAGAAAGCCAAGAGCAAGGCGACTCCAACGGTATCACCAACGGTAGAGTCAACGCAACTGGACACGAATGGTGAGGTTTTATTTTGAACGACACTGAATGTTGACGGTTATGCAGCAAACACCGGCCCAGTACAGCCCATCGACTCGTCTGGGGCAGCTGCGTCGGGCTCTTCTTCAAATCCAAGTCCACAGCCAACTGGCGATCTCTCAGCATCTTCCATCGTTCAACAAACCGCAACCGCTGCACCAGCTATCGTCCCACAAAAAAACAAGCGCAAGCGACCAGAACAGGCAGACGATGACAGTTCTACGCACAAGCGCCCAAAGCGGGCAGTTGAAAGCGCCAATGACCGTGTCGCGCGTTTACAAAAAGAAGCTGCAGATAAAAAGCTCAAGCAAGCTGAACGTGAAGCCGCGGCTAAGGTGCAACGGGAGGCGGCGAAGCGCAAGTCCGAAGAAATGAGGATTCAACGAGAGCGCGCGGAATATCACGAACAGGGATTGGCATTGGCAAGACAAGCCAGAGAGGCAAGATTGGCAAGGGAGCAGCTGGAGAAGGAGGCGGAACATTCAGCTGTAACTTCCTCTTTGGCTTCAAACGACCCGCCAGTCAATCTCGAGTCGAGCCAGCAGGTCGCTTTCGCTGCATCCTCCCAGGTGCCTCACGCTGACAATGCCGCACCTGCATCCGAGTTGATAGCATGCCCACCTGACGCTCCGACATGGTTCAAGCATATGTTCACCGACATCTCACGTTTCAAGCTCGGTCCTCGCTTTGTGCAGTTGATCAAGGCCCTCGTTTTGCTAGAGGCTGCATACGGCTACCTTGATCGTCGCGCCAAATTGCCAGCAGTGGGCCGTCCTGGTCAAATTGGCGAGTGGTTTAAGCACGGTCGCGTCTGGAATCCTGAGGCCATGAAAATTTCCGACGTGCTTTCATATGGGAAACAATGGAACTCTTGGTGGCGGAGTCGGCAGCCTCCGTGGCGCGTTCCTGATTCCGCCGCGGATGATTTGCTCAAGGTTGCATCTGAGAGACGTAGCTGGGGTGGGTTGGCGTTACCAGGCACCAGTGGGATGGGGGTTGTGGTGGCCTCCCTAAGTTGGTGGGGCCGAGAAGTATGGGATAAAGGCAACGAGGCGGCTGCAGATTGGGAGAAGGCTGTCGACGATGTGGAATGGGTCGTGCAAAACCTCACGAACGATGCTGCAGCAACCCTGGACTTTTTGACGAAGGACAAAGGAGTCAATGCGAAAAGCCAGTAGTGCAATACTAGTACTTCGACCAATCTCATTCCAATCACTTGCTACGACTAAAGTTCGACCATGTAAAAGCAAGTAGTATTGCTGTAGAATGAGTAGCTATTTACAACTGGAGTTCTACGAGGCGAAATTCGGCTGGGAAATGAAATCCACGAAAAGACGAATCTACCGTGCTTGCGTCATACCATGAGTATTTTCGCCGTATTGCCCACTGCCGGCCGACGGTCAAGATTGGGTCGATAATGAATGCGCTGGCTGCACGTCGGACAACTGTTGCTGTGTCTGTCGACCAGCCAAAGCGTTAAGCAAACGCAACAGAAGTGATGACCGCAGGGGTCATTATTGATTCGGAAATGCTGCGAAATTTCGCGCAGTCTGTATAGGTCAAGGTTAAATGGAGGACGGACAGCAAATAGCACCTCTTACCTCACGGGAACAGACAGTAGCTGCCCGCAAAGTCCGCACAAGTCGGCAGAGTCAGTGACGACGACGGTCGACATCGAGGGTGGCCGTGCTTTTCCACGATACAGGCTTGCGCGTTGGGATTGGGTGTGCGCGTCGAAAACACGGTGGATTACTGGAGGGGTCATGCCGAAAAGACTGTGGCCTTGTGGGATTTCATCTGCTGACCGAGGGCGGAAATGGGGTACTGTAAGATTTTAACGAGGAGTCAGTCGTGAATGTTGCAAGAGGGAGAAAGCCTTCACCGAATAGTAGCCGCCTATTGCTACGAGTAGGCCCGGGCGTAGTACCAAGCTCAGACTCGGGCGATGATGTAGAGAGCTCGGGATCTCCTCGCAGCATTCGAGCTTGAAGTTCTTGCCATTCCCAAGCAAGTGCCGCAAGTGTTTTGAATATGAGATTTTCTTGATTTCCCGGCGCAAGGGCCCGAGTCAGTATTAGTTTAGCATCGTGTCAGCCACGACATGACGACCCTGAATCCCTCGGATAAGTAGTTGTAGTTGTGGCTCGGATTTGGCTCGGGTTTTGCGACATTTGATGGTCATTTGGCGACGTCACGCACTCACACTTGATTTGATTCTTTCCATGATCCCCTCATTGTCATCGAGATCCTGTGGTTGTCAGGGAAAAAGGCCCGATTTAAGCGTGAGGTTGTCGGCTTCGACGCTTCAGCTTGAAGTGGGTTATCGAAACAGTAAGTAAGTTATAAACATCCTCCCCGGTCCAAGTTGAGCAACTCACAATGTCTGCTCCCCACACCCCCCTCGTTTGTGTTCCTTTCTGAATTTGGCGTCGACGTTGACGATGCTCTATAGCCCAGGCTCGCTTATTCGTGGTCGGTCGACACCCACAGGCAGTGATACTTCCTCCCCCCCTGCTCGACGACCAAGAATTGGAGGCAGCCCAAGGACCGTGACTGCCAGCGGCATGCATTCAAGTTCGCGGAGTCTCGTCTTAACGCTACCACTGGCAGTGTTCGTTCTTCTCAGTCGCCGCCGACAACCATCTCCTGCGATGAGGACCCGGACTCCGACTTGGCAGAGCTCTCTGATAGCGACAGCCAGAGCGAACCTGAAGAAGGATCTTTGCCATCCCCAAGCAACTTGGTCAACGCAACGGCGAATCTTTCCGAGTCCCTGAACTCCAATTTGGTTGAGTCCGCCGGTGAGTCTACGCAGCTAATTCTCGCTGCAGCTGTACTGATATCAACGCAGAATATTATTCCACTGAACGACCTAGCTCAGTCCTACGTCAACTCATCGCTGCAGAGGCCGACGGAGATTATGGACCACAGGGCTCAACGGGCAAGCACCCTCACCTATCCAACATTGTCTCCCACTCGTCGACCAGCTCCCGTTTGCGCGTCGGTCGGTTTGATGTGGCGAGTCTACCTGCAGATGTGCAGGAGTTTTGCGTTGGCCGAGCGTTCCGGGTTTTAGCCTATACCCGAAATCCAACCCCAGGCCAATCTATTTTATCTCGTGGACGTCGTTCTGTCGGAGTCCGTCCTAGGATGCCCCTCTCAGCGTTGACGCGGCTTCAACCAACCTCTTCGTTCCAGGCCTTGAATCCTTCCTTCTTCGAGTCGACGCCATCATCCCAATCAACCACTGGCAACGCCGGTGGACGCGAGCATTCGCCATTGGCGAGTCCTATCACGATATCGCGGACGCTCAAGCTCTAGCCTAAGTGGGAGTGAAGGCGATATCTTGCAGCTTGGGGAGGAGTTTGATGGTAGCCGGGTGGACCTTAGGATGGCTTTGGGCAGCCAAGTTGAGGGGCATCGGTCTCAACTTATGATATAATCTGCCAATACCCTACCTCTCATCAAAACTTTGACTTGAGTCGTAATTTCAGTAGATAGAGCTTTTGCGCCGTTAATTCGCTTGTCCCTAAATTTTTGATCCCCAATCAACGAGTCCCAAACGCGTGCCGCTTCTAAACCCGTGACCGTGGCGTGGCAATTACGTGTTGATGCTTATTTTTTCTTGCCTTATTCCTCTTCACTCTCCACAACCGACATGGCGCCACTGACTTTGGCGCAGCGCAATGTGTACGCCCGACGAGAATGCGGACTTCAACCCGACCGACGAGCATGCGTATATATCTGCAGACAACACAAGAGTTGTTACAAGTGCTTTCAATCTGTCCCCCAGCAAGCGTCCCGAAAAGGGCGCGTCTACGAATCCGACCCAAGACTGCAGGATTGGGTCCCCGTCCGGATGCCACCATGGATGAGGTAGATGCTCTGGCTACGTCAGTCTCATCTTTCGACGTTGACCTTGACGAAGTCGTGACAAAACGCAAGCGCTACGAGTCGGTACGTGTCCTGAAACGAAATATGCGAGAAAAGAGCTTACGAAGAATGTAGGATGATCCTATGGAGGTGTGGAAAAGTGTGTCGGGGTTGTTTCTCGACGAAATCGTACGACACGATGGTTTGGGTCAGCGAACCCAGTGCGCCGTCTGCCCGACCAAAGTTAACCAGGCCGGCCAGCGCTTTTTTCGATGCCGACAATGTGGGGTGCAAATCTTCTGCGAAAGTTGCGTCAAAAAACAGCACCAATGGTCACCTTTGCATACTATTCAGGTCAGCCTCAAGCATTTTTCACTGTGGGCCGACATATTGATCCTCGCTTGGTAGGAGTGGACTGGGAGCTTCTGGACAGAGGTTTCGCTCTACCACAGTCGAGTGGAGAGCGGGGGGCGCTCAGGCCTTGGCGCTATGTATCAACTAGGACATTCGGGTGCTACATGTCCCTTCCCTGGTAATCGGCGGTCAATGGTTGTCATCGGCGTCAATGGAATCTTTGTCGTTGACATACAGTACTGCGATTGCCACAATACCAATGGCTCTGACATGCTGCAGCAACTACTCCGGAATGGATGGTACCCAGCGACAACCATCAACCCAGCGACCTGTGCCACCTTTAATGTGCTTGAACTGTTTCGTCTGCTCCGCACCATTGGCAACCTCAATGTCCATGACTTCATGCGGACTTTGGAGAGGTCAGGCGACCCCACCTTAACCTGCGACACTCCTGTAAGTACACACGATAATCTCGATCGTCGTAGACTGATGGGATTCAAGGATCGGTACAAAGCATTTGGGCGGATGGCTCGACAGTTTGATTTCTTGAAGCGGATGAAGCGCGGGCGGGTCGCGTCTGAGGCTGATGGAATGGCTACAACGCCACCCGGTGGGTTAGCAGTATTATGTTGGGCGTGTCCAGCGGAGGGAAGAAATCTCCCCGAGGGGTGGCGTAACGTGAAGCCAAGCCAACGGTGAATACCCATCTATCTTTGGAAAAAAATAGTAATGCGTTCAAGCTATCTTTACCGATTAATCCTCTCCATCGACGCCGAACTTTCGCCTCAAGAATCGCCTTCGACCGAATGAGCATCAAGACCTGTCGTTAGGCTCAGGCTTGGGATATTTCGTGGAGTCATCATCGCACAAGGATCACCTCCGAAGCTATGTCAAAGAAAAAGATGTGAGTACTGTTTTGGGCAGCGAGACTGAGGTTTATGCCATGGTAACCCAATAGGTCAGCTCTTGTGTTGCCTTTGCTGCTCTGCTCCAGAAGGAGACTCGTTTAACGACCGGATTGCGTGTTTCTGGGGTTGCCGGATGTGTTTGTGCCCGTCATGGGCTGGTGCGAGCTCGAGGACTAGGAGATCTACAAAAGGGAGAACGGTATGTCGCGTCAAGTTGCTTATCTTTTCGACTTAAGGATGACCTTAGGTATGCAAATGTGGATTGGATTGTGGCATGCACACTCTGGACCGAGCGGTTAATGGAGTATGGCTTCGCCTATGACATCGTTTGCCAATGGATGATAAATTTCTTCAAACGGCTGGCCAAAATTCGCGAGGGGTCGGCGGATACAACCACGCTTACTACCGATTTCGACGACCTGGAGGTGGTTTTTGGCGTGCCTGTCTGGCATGCAGGTGCGCACGATCTTCAATGTAGAGCACATCTTGCTCTGGCTTATCTCTTGGGCATGGGAAAGACCGATGGAGAGGCGATGGAAAGGATATGGGCTAGTTTGAACCCCGCCAGCTGGGCTACGAAGGAAATGGGCGAAGGAGGTCGACACGATGTATTGGAGGACAAGGTGGATCATCTTAATTTCGAGAAAAATCTGGGACTAGGTATGTGCTTGGATTGCTCTTTGACTACGTCAAACGAATCATTGTTAGGAAGGGTGTTGTCTCGCAAACTCATCGTCGCCATCTCGAACGCCGGCGTCAAGGCAACGAATTTGCGGAATTCGACCAAAGCATCAACAAAGTCAAGCGAAAACAATGGCGAACTCTCATGGACAACTGGTATAAAGACACGACCCAACCAAATCCGTTTGTTCTGCAGGGTGGAAACGCTGGTCAGTGGCTGGACTTGGCTGCATGTTTCGGCTAATGAACGACGAAAACCAGCTGGCCCTACCGAGCGGGAAATTGTGCAAGACTTGAAGAAGGAAGAGCTTGAGGAGGTCAGGGCTGGCCGAATTCCTGTCTTAGAAGGCAAGATGACGGTTGTGGCTTTCATCAAAGCGGGCCTTCAATTGCAAAACTTGCAGTAGGTTGACCTACTCCTGCTCTCCGTTTATTATTGACACTTGGCAGGAGGCGAATCCGTGCGGCTCTGAAAAACAAGTCCTTGACAGCTGACCGTGCAAGTCAGATTCAAGAGCTGCGACTATCTCTCGTCAAACAAACACAGGCTTTCCAAAAGCTGCAATTAACTTACATGCCTGGGGTCGAGGGCTTGCGTCAAGCGGACGATACAAAACGCAACCCAGATCAACCGACTCCGCCACCAGAAGACACGAAGCTTTACCTGCCGTCAGACCTCACACATACTGAGCGTTTGCAGGCATGCGTCCAACGCGTTGTTGACACCGAGGTCAACCTTCGCCGTGGTCAATGTACCGATGCTTTGGTTGCCCTGCGGGCAAAACTCTTCGCCCAGACGCATATGATCTGGTTTCGCGATCGCAATCTTGTGGGTCAAAAGGCGCGGACTCGGTCAGTAACACTTATGGGGCGTCTTGAAGAAGGCATCACCAGAATCGTGGCTAAATATCGTTCTCGCAAGAAGCGATCGTGAAGCTAAAAGGGCCCGCCTTTGCCCCGGAGTTTCAGAAGCTGGAAGATGCAGATGTGAACTGCCGAGTTGTGGAAGAGAACGACATTGAAGCAGCCCAACGGCTTAGAGGTGCCGATGGTTCCAGAGGTGCTCGAAGCGAACCTAGTACCAAGCGCCTTCGCGGAAAAGTGTCTTGGATTTGGCAGGCCGAAATCGGAAGCGAAGCCGAAGAAATGCATGATGGTATGTGTGAAGGGTTTTCATTCAAGTCATTATTGACTGGTTTGGTCAATAGCTGTTCGTGTGGAGTGGTCAAAAGCCAGGGCTCGTCGCGCGCGTTGGAACGAAGAAGTCGAACTCATCCGTGAAGAAATGAAACGTGTTTTGCGTTCATTGCGGTTTGCGCAGAGAACGAGTGGGCAGCACGTGCCACCTCTGCGAGACTCTTTGTCGACCCAGAGGTGGCGAATGGTCTTGTGGCGTATGCTCTTCGCCAGGTGGAGCTACACAAACGAATAGCTGAAGGGTTCTACACCGAGTGGCGGAAATCAGTTTCGGATGCGGTGAAAGAGGTTATGGCTCAAGATGGGGCTCTGTATCGACATTTGCTGGATGGAGACTCAGAGGTTGGTGGAATGGCTGAGCTAGAAAGCAACAATTTGTAGGATGTTTTAAATGCGTCGAGTCACAATGCGTCGAGGCACTCAGTTACGTGTGAACGTGACATTCGTCACGTGCATGTGACGATCGCGACTTACCCACTTTCTCCGATGACCACCGTGCTCTGGGTAAGGATTGCCCAGTGGCACTGGTAATTCGTTGAATCATCATGCTAGAATATCGGTGAAAACCGGGTTCTCTTTGAGTTTCGCTTTCAAATGGCGCAAGTCGTCGACGCAGCCGAGAAGGCGGAGGACAAAGCCCACGCTTGGCGGGTTGCATGGCGCTGGATTAAGGTCTTCTTCGTGGAGCATACACCGAAGATGCTTGACCCCGTGGCTTCGAACTCCTTGGTCAACGCCACCAGGGAAGCCGAACGCCAAAAACAAACGGAATATGTTATGGCATGGGAGATGTTGCTACTAATAAACGCAGACGACGATTGTGTCACCACACCAGACGCTAAAGCTATATGGCTGAACATCTGCGAATGGCAGGAGTGTCTGATAAAGGAGGGGCACTATCTCCAACTGCAATCGAAACATTTTTCCAGTGAACTACCCGGGCCGAGCGCTGCCAATACTAACAACTCCGAACCTCTCGTTGGCTTGCGCTACGCGGAGGCTGACGAAATACAGGTAATAACCAGGAATGCTGTGCTTTCCTTGACGAAGATCTCTGCTGTGCTTACCTGGGCTCTTGAACACGCCTTTGGCCCGCTGTGTCGCTACCTCATCGAGGACATGTTGCTTGTGCAAAGGTTGTCGCATTCGACCACCTGGAATCTAACACCCAACCGTCGGGCTGACGTATTCTATCTCGCATTGAGGTCTCTGGAAGCGCTCGGTGCTTTCGACAAGAAGAACTTCGAAAATGCAAATTTCGTCAATCGCATCGGAGCTCGACAAACGGCGCAGATTCTGATGCTCTCTCTGGATATAACGATAAAAGTCTGTGGCCTGAAGGACTCGCCCTTCCATTGGGCATTACCAGTCATGTCAGTGGATTCCCTCAACTTCCTCTACCGATTCTACAAGAGTGAGGAACTGAACGCCGCCTTGCACGTCGAGCTGAGGCGGAAGGGAGTATATGGGATGCTGATCGACTTATTGGCCACTCTCTTGACGATCGACGATTTCACGGAACTGACGGGAAACGCTGACTGGGGCGATGGATAGTAATGTCAACCTGCTGTTGTGGTTAGCACAAGCGGAGGAGACCTATCGAAGGCGATCGTTCTAATGCTCACCAACTCAAAAAGAATTCGGCGCTGCCCGTCTTATTGGACTTCCTGCTTCACAAGGACTCCACTCAACACACCAAGCAACAGGTGATCGCCTTTTTGCACTCCGCACTGGGCCAGACCATGTGGAATCCACGAGTCTTGAAGGTTTTGCAGGCTACCAAAGGAAAAGAGACATTGGCCCGATACGTCAACGAAAGCAGCGACAGATCGTTGTCGGGGCTCAATAAACAAGTTGAAGAAAGCACAAACCTGTGGGAGGTCCTTCAAGGGGTGGGGAGAGAGCTCGTGTCGCAGGGAATATGCCAAGGGGTAAGTTGTCATTTGAGCCTGGGTGTATAATCTGAGTCTTGATAGTGTGGCCATGTTGCCTCCAAAACGTCCTTCCAGACTTGCTCGGCATGCAAGGAGGTGTATTACTGTAACCAGCAGTGTCAGAGGAACAATCGAGCGTCCCACAGGATGTGCTGCAGTAACCTCGCGGTTTCGCTCTGGCGTGAGCTTTTCTTTGTTCCAATCATCAATTGACCTGAGCTGACTGGATGGCAGGTGTCCAACATGAGAGCATCGATAGCGCAACACAGAAGTTCATTCGTCGGACGATCACCAGGTCCTTTCGTACTGGCTTCCAGTCGATTAAGAGGCTGGCCTTGGTAGCGTTGGACGAGTCGGAGTACCTATCGGTGGTTTATCGCTATGATTGCGTGCCAATGAGGTATGATTGCATTCGCTCCACGAAACTGCCGGAGGTGCCTGGCATGGAGATGTGGGGGGGCGACGTGAATTTGATGAACATCGTTGACCTCGTCGAGGGCAAACTCGCCGTCGATGCGGTAATCCTGCCAGTCTCGAAGACGAAAACGGTGACTTGGACTGTCATTCGTAGGTGCACAGAGCGAATGGATCGTGCTTGGTGGTCTGGCGACATCCCGAATGGTTTGATGTACGTGTAGGGCTGAAATGTATGTACCATATATCAATCAAATCTTCCGCTGACAGTGACAGACTGCGCCAAGACTCCGCGTTGCTACGTGGCCTGATTTTTACACTGTCTGGGCGTCTGCATCGACCACAGTCTTACCCCTTCCCCCCTGCTTCTGACTTTTTCCATCTGCCCGCTCATCTCTCTACCGCTCCCGCAAGGAATCTGCTGCCCAGCCCCGTTCCGCACCGTCTCCCTCCCCTTCACCTTCCTTATACATATGTGTGTGTGTGTGTAGTGTCGGAGTAGCTAAGTATGTGCGCATAAATAGAGAACAAATACAATATATGAGTTACATCGAGCGATCCAGCGTAGGGCTGGGCTGGAATTTACCCAAAATTTACCCAGGATTGATTTGGCCCTGAAAGTGACTAGACGGCGAGTATCGGCACGAGAGGATCAATCAACCTGGGTGAGCAGGGTCGGCAGAGGTAGAGTTGAAAATGCAGTGGCTTTGCCAGGGGGGGTGGTGGAGCCAGGTGTTTTGCAATCTGATGTTCTGGCAACTGCCAGCAGTGATTGAATCAGGTTACAGCCACGGGTGTGGGCCCAGCACCTGGTAAACTCTGCGCCGGATTCGGATTCGCTCAAAGACCCGACGGACAGGATCTATTCTCAGAAGAGACTGACGAATACGCTGTCGTGGAACCCGATGACCAAGCCTTCGCAACATGCCATCTAACATAGCCAGTCCTGCACGCCGAAAGTTACTTCGCAGACGTGAAATTAGATCATCGAGATCAGCATCCGAAAGTATAGAGATTGGACCAGTATAAGAGGTTGTATGACGTGAAAGCTCGTTGTTGGTAGGCATTGGTAGGACTGGCTCCAGGAGGTCGTCATCTCCCTCTTGAGATTGTTGATGATTTTCCATGGGAAATGGATTGTCTTGAGCTTCCGCAATACCATGTTCTAGCAAAGCATTCCGAACTGTTGTCCGGCTGACGCCCAGAAAATGGCTAATGCCTGCCGTGGTTCGATGTGAATAAGCCTATCGCAGGAAGTCTGGATCAATCCATATCCGGGGCCTGCCTCGCCCACTGGTTGCCCTATATTCGACAAGTGCAGGTCGACCTTGGTGGGACGAGTCCGCCGCAGTTTGATAGTGGTGGCGAATATCCTGTTGCATAGCAGCAATACTAGTTTGCAGGGTTGTCCATTCCGCCTCATCTTCAAAGACCCTAGAGTGCTATAGCTTCCAAGTCAGTCTGAACTAGACGTAAAAAGTTTGGGACACACTTCTTGAACGATAGCAAGAAACTCATCTAGATCGTCGCCCAGCCGTGCAATTACTACTCCATCCGTCACTGTTCCATCTAACTGTCTGACCTCATCAGAGAACCGAATATAGTGCGTCCGAAAAGCATTTAACAGAGCCGTTTGAGAGAAAATAGGCAGATTTAGGTCCATGCCAAGTTCGGAATGGTCACGGGACTATCAGACGCTCTTTGACGCTCGCAACCTAGTGAAAAGAAAATCATTGAAGTATGGCCTAGAACTATCTATTGTCTACGAGTTTCAGCTCTATCTGTAGGAATGGGTGTACCATGATTCAAAATATCTCCAAAGACCCACATAGTTTCCTCTTCAAAGTCTAAATCTTCTGCGTTATGCGTCTCCTCAAACCGATTCCGGGCCCTCTCTAAATCCTTTCGCTCGCCATCTACCCTCTCGGCATAGGTCGGATCGTCTTCATAATCGTTGATAAGCTCACACAGTGTGCGTAGCTTGCGAGAAATATGCAAGCCTGCAATGTTAACCTCGATACGACAGCAGGGAGCAGGTAATGAGTTTGGAAGTTGTCGAAGATCGAACTCCTGGTCTAGGGCCGTATGCAACCATCGGGCTACGCAACTTGCGCATCCCAGACCACTCTGACAGTTTGAGCTGAAGTCCCAAATTATCCTTGTTGCTGCCATCCTCCCCCCGCTCTCATGGAGCCTTTCCCTTCTCCTCCCCTCCCTTGTTCCCTTCTCTGGCCAACAACTCCACCGTGGCTTCACCAATGGTTAAGGCCTAGATGAGTGGTGGCCATCCAGTTTTATCCCTGGTGGTTCTAGAGTGCGTGGTCTCTTTCCGTCAAATCTTCGTAGAATCTCACGATACTGCATAGAGTTCTACTACTCTCCTATACCTTCAAAACGATCCCAACTCGGCCCCACCGAACGCTATATTTGCTGAGAACAAGCTGGTCGAAGGTTTCCTCTTTTGGCCTGTCAAAGTGTGTTCTCTATCTTCATCAAAACTTCGCCGAATCTCACGATACTTGGTAGACTTATACTACCCATTCGTATCTTCAAAACGCTGGTGGCCCCGCCGCGGGAATCCCTGTGGTTGTGGAGAACGAGCCGGTCGAAGATTGCCTTTTTTGGCCTTCAGGGTGTGTGCTCTATCTTCGTCAAACCTTTGTCGAATCTCACGATACTTGGTAGACCTATACTGCCCATCTGTACCTTCAAAACGCTGGTGGCCCCGCCGCGGGAATCCCTGTGGTTGTGGAGAACGAGCCGGTCGAAGATTGCCTTTTTTGGCCTTCAGGGTGTGTGCTCTATCTTCGTCAAACCTTTGTCGAATCTCACGATACTTGGTAGACCTATACTGCCCATCTGTACCTTCAAAACGCTGGTGGCCCCGCCGCGGGAATCCCTGTGGTTGTGGAGAACGAGCCGGTCGAAGATTGCCTTTTTTGGCCTTCAGGGTGTGTGCTCTATCCTCGTCAAACCTTTGTCGAATCTCACGATACTTGGTAGACTTATACTGCCCATCTATACCTTCAAAACGCTGGTGGCCCCGCCGCGGGAATCCCTGTGGTTGTGGAGAACGAGCCGGCCGAGGTTTGCCTTTTTCGGTCTTCAAGGTGTGCCCTTTTGTTCTGTCCAACCTTGGCCAAATCTCACTCTATTCTGTAGATATATACTAACCATTGACTTCTCCTTACCCTCTTCTCTGGTCACTGAGATTGAGCTAGTGTATGGGCCTCTTTTTGTATGGTAGTTCTTGTTATTGATTTGATGTTACCTGTCACCTATTGATATTATCGTCCTTCTTGTCCATCCACCATGAAGAAAGAGTACTTTTGGGGGGGTCCACCTCATGTGGACACTATTGACTTCCTTCAAACTCAAATCTGGGCTGATGACAACCGCTGTATTGGCTACTTTCTCTCCAACTCGTTTTTCAAGACCGCTGGGCTTTCTAGTCTGCGACGACAGTTGATGGAACGTCTGAGGGCTTCATCCTACTGGGTAAGCTGATCTTTCATGTCGATTCCTTTTACAATACTCACCACAAGGCAGATCTCCGTAATCTGCGGGTACTTTGAACGAGTCTTGAACGTTGACCTTAACGGTCTTTCCGACGAACATCTCCCTTTCCTTCTCAAGGAATTCATCGAGTTTCAGGAGCTCCGCTTCAATCAAAATGATGATTCTCGGGACCACGTAGCTTACGCCCAATCGACTTTGACCACTCTTCGCACCCAAATTCACAAGATCCAATCAGTACAATGGTTGGCGGTAAGTGTGTATTGCCTTCCTAGTCTCCTGTTTTATTCTTGAATTAGAGTGCTCCGGCGCGTCAATTCTCTACGCTAGAGGACGTTCTACTGCCCTACGGTCACATAGAAGCGGACGAGGAGGAGGAGGAGGAGGGGGGAACTGATGAGGATATGTCGGACAACAGTGATTCTGACTACGCCGATGAGCAGGAGGAGATCTTATTAGAAATTCAAGAACATTTGAAGCTATGGGAGTCAACTCAGCCCCAGCCCCTCCTGGAGCCTGTCCTATCATTGGAGCGGTCTCTGCGTGATATCAAGGATCGGGCTCATCATGTATTCCGGCGGGTTTGTCTTCTTTCTTTCCTCTCGGCTTTTTGGCTTATCGTTGATCTTTTCAGGCTATACCTTGGACTGTGGCTGATACCAATTCTCTGTATCAAGAGATGGACCAAGT